CTCAGTTTCTTCCACTGAGTGTAGTACCTGCTCAGGGGTGTCCCCTCCTCCTTCACCTGCTTCTCCCATTGTTCCTGGGCAGAAAATGGGACAAAATTGAAAGTTTTCTGAGCAGTTTTCCAATAAACACAAGGAGCYACGGGCACGATCTCCCACGAGCATTCCCAAACCCTGAGTACCACCCAGAGCTGCCCCTGTGCCACAGCCAAGAGTTTATTTTTGAACCAAACATTCCCTGCAGGGCTCTGGAGCTGGCCCAGCCCGGGGAGAGCAGAGCAGGAGGAAGGGCAGTGAGGGGGAACAAACACCACAAACGGTGGGAGGCAAAGGAGCTGCTTAAAAATGCTTTAACCCTTCAAAAACTTGGCAGGCAAATGCTGAAAGGGGGTGGGGGAGCTCAGATTAAATTAATTCTTAACCTGACAAGATCCTTTCAGCTAAAACCCCTCCCAGAGCTGTCCTTGCTCCCCAGAGTGTGATCCCATGGTGAACAGCACAAACCCAGAGCAGCTCAGATTTTCTGCAGCAGAGCTTGGCTCAGGGGAGCTGAACCCCAAAAGAAGGAGCCTCCCTGATTGCTGCTGAGCCCCCAGACCCCTCCAGGAGACACCCAGGCTGTGAGAAGTTAAACCAACACTAACATTTTCAACCCAAGAGCTGCTGAAAGCCCCATTTCATTCAGCCAAAGCTCTTCCCCAGCTCCTCTGGCTCAGGRACAGCCCACGAGGTTGGCAGCTCTGCCCCTGCAGCGGGTGGGTGGTCACAAAAATCCAAACCAAAATCCCAAATCCCAAATCCACCTCTCCAAACCACCCCACAGGAAGCAGTGCAGCCCCAGAACCCGCTGAGTCACCCCAAACCCAGGATCCTACAAACACCTCGGTCCCAGAGCAGCTCTTTTGTACCCTGGCATGGAGATCTCGGGGTTTCAGCAGCTCCTTTGCCCAGCCCCTGCCCCTTTGTGTGTGCAGACATTCAGTGAGGCTGCTCTGCTCTGCTGCCAGCCCAGGGACGCAGGAATCCAGGCTTTGCAATAACCACAGAGGCTGCTCTGAGCCATCATCACCTCCCACAGCGAGATTTTCCCCTGTTAGAGTCCCTATTTCCTCTCAGAGAGCACACACACAGCTCCCCTCTCCCTAAACCACTTCAGGCACACACTGGCACTGACAGGAATGGGATGATGAAAACCCCTTCCCATCAAAGGCCASCCCTAAAACAACACCAGGGCTCCATTTAGGGACGGCTCTCATGGCTGCAGAGCCCTGCCAGCCCCACATCCCCTTCCATCAGCTCCTCCTGGCAGCCCAGAGCCCCTTGGTGATCCCAGAAAGGTCAAAAACAGCAGCAGGGAGAACATTCCCAATGTGCTCACCACGGCCTGGGCGCTGGCCACGCCRAAGGCAACGCGCTGCCTCCTGCCACTGATGTGTGCTGAGTTCTCCTGCACCTTCTCCAGGAGCTGCCGCATGGGCTTGCAGTAATTGGCCACCTTGCAYTCCTTCAGGAAGGATTTCAGCTGGCAGGAGGAAAAGGAGAGGAGGAATGAAAGAGCTGGAGTGGTTTGCACAAMCATCCCGTCATTTCCCACCCTCGGGAAACGCTCTGCTTTTCCCTATAACCCATCCCATACTCCCATGGGATTTATCAATCACCCACATTCCCTGGGCTGGGAGAGCTGCACTTTGCTCCAAAGCAGTGCTGTAACACCGCTTTTTTTCTGAGAAAGATGGATCCGTGGCCAAGCAGAGCAGAGTCTTGATCTCAGCTGGGAGAAGAGATGCTGTCGTGGGGGAGATAAAGGGTTCCAGGCAGCAAATCCATCACTGCCCTCCCCAGCCATGGTTCTGCCTCAAAACAGTTTCACAGTTCTGCCTCAAAACACACAACTGGAGCAAGGAAGAAGATGTTTCCCTCCTGTCCAGCCTGATTTTTAATGCCAAGCAGGAGGTGACGGTGCCACCCAGTCCAGCCCCTCCCTGAGTGGGGTTTGCTGAAGGATTTCCCCCATTAAAGAACAGCAGGACCTTCCCTGTCCCTTTTCCCTGCCAGCTCAGAAAAATGGGAATTTGAGCACAGACCTTCCCTGCTTCCCCCAAAGCACACAGCCCATCAAGCCAGCACAAAGAAACCATCAGCACAACTATTCTTCTGTCCTACCCTCACCCCCGCTTCCTAAAATATTTATTTTTTATAGGTGCTGCATATTTATCTCCACTGAGAGATGCATTTGTCATTCGATTTATCTCACTTGATCCCCCCAGCTGCAGCCCCAGATCCATTCCATCCGCTGCCACATACATTATCATTTTTCTTCCCTCGCACAAGTGTCACCAGAAATCCTGCAAAATCTTGGGCTCCATCACACATTCCTGCTCCAGCCCTGCTCTCCCTCTCCTCTCTCCCAGCCCTGCAATCCCTCACAGTCCCARCTCGACCCGACACAGATTTAATGAAACCTAATGAGATCTCAGCCCCGTGTTGAGAGGCTGGGACATAACCAGGGAGGTGAAAGCAGATAAAAGACAGAGAAAAAGGGTCTGTGTGTGCTTTTCCCTGCCCTGGCGAATGGAACAAACCCATCAGTGCAGAATGAAGCGCTCAGAACCCCAATGTGTGTGGGATTTATGGCATTAGGGTCTCACATTCCTGCTCTGGGATTAGTGGGGTTGATTCTGTCCCACCGCCAGCCCTCAACACCAAAAGCTTCTCCCAGCAGAGACCACAGGGCAGAACCCCAGCTCGTCTTACTGGAAATGGTGCAGGCAACTGGAAATGCTCTGAAGGGACTGGGAAACCAAATCCTGCTCACAGCAGGCAGAAGGAACATTTCCCTGGGACAGAG